CAGCTACATTTATTGGAGTATGGTAGTTGTGGGAAATTTTTTAATTTGTTAATTTTATTAAAACGTAAAATTTATAACATCTATAACTTAAAAAAAACTATTTTTTAAAATAATTCTGTAGCGATTTGTACAAGCAACAAAAAATCCCAAATGGATCCTAAATCAAACATGGCAAGAAAAGTTCAAAAAATAAATAGAACAAAATAAAGTGAACACCTCATAAAGCATTCAACAAGAATGCTAATGAAGAACGATGATGCATAAATTGAATACAAATGGCCAAGGTCGATAATAACAACCATAACACCATTTTCTTTTCGTGTGAGGGAATGTTTTAAAAAAAATCTCAACCTCCATATACAACTACACATTAAAGGGGCACACTAATCAAGTTTAACATAATATTGACCAACTCAATCTACTCACCTAGTATAGTTGATATAATGTTCTAAAAGAGTCTGTAAGAAATTCAATTTCCAATTCAACCTCATCACGGAACAAGGGATTTTAGTGTAATACCTAGTTTTGGACAAATCGAGTAAAATTTTTGGCAATTTTAAAATATACCCTAATTCTCACTATCCCTAAAATCAAATCAAGTTAATATAATTTTGCATGTAGAATAAGTCAATTTGATATATAGCACTATATAAGGATTATAGACAAAGATATAAAAATATACGATAATAGTTTAATTAAAATTAATTATGTATCTCATTAATGTTTAATCCCCGAAACTGTATCCAACCAACTTTCTTCCATGATTTGCAGTTGTGGGATGTATACAAAGGGTTAGGATTAAAATTTATCAAGTTAAATATCACATTTCTTCCGTTTCCACTCTCCCAAACCTTCCTCCATGCAAAGGCCCGCACAGTTCACTCCAGCAACAGTAGGAGCATGCCTGCAAGGAACCGCATGCAGCGATTCAAGGATTAATGGAAAAAATCTGTAAGAGGGAACATCACTTTCATGCTATTTGAAGCATTCATTTCCTTCCCTATAATCTTTTTCACGATTTTCCATGAGTCAAATTTTTTTGTCTTTCTATATCACTCCAAGGAAAAGCGGAAATGTGATCCTAAATGTTATACATTAGTTTGTGGTTTCAGAAGGATAGTTAGCAGAAAGGAGGGGAAGAAAAGTTGTAGAGGAAAGGAAGAAAATAAGATGGTATTGGGAAGGAGGTAATGCGAGAAAATCCTTTCGAGCTAAGTAATAGCAAGTGATCCGTATTTGAGAATAAATCAAGATATAAGTAAAAATTTCATGAAAATTCTAAGGAGTTTATCATTCCAGATGGTTTAGTCTAGGTGATGAGCTACAAGCGGGCTTGAGGAAACTCATTGTATGTTTGCACCATCGATTTAGGTAAAATAATTTTATATTAAATTAAAAATAAGAACAATCTATAGAATTTTCATGAAATCTCTTTTGAAATACAATTGCATTTAGAATATTGTAAATGTTTGTAGATGTTAGCATTAATGCAAGTTTGAAATGACACTATCAATATTTATGCTTTCACCATTTCATTTATATAATGAGCATATTTATGAAATTTTCACTAGCAGATATTCATATATTATTGTTTATTGATATACTACATGATTTACTTATGATGAATGATTATTACAGTAATTATAATTACATGAATTTCACAAGTATTGCGATAGGTAGTAATTATGATTACAAGAATATCACAAGTATTGTGAATAATAGGGAACGATGTGATTACTGACTTATGGCATTCAAACGAACAAATTCGTAAACTATGGAGACAGAAATGAAAACCCTAAAACCACTTGTATCAAAGAAGTTATTGATAATTGTTATATTGGGAGGGACCCGATATTAATCAATAGTTAATTTAGCCTTTCAGCGGTGAAGACCCAATACAAAGAAATGACATGAATGTAGTCAAATTCTATACAATTGTAAATGATATTCTTATGATTACAGTGGTTGATTTTGAAATTCTTATGGATATGCTCATGATTGCACATGAATGAATGAGACATGTTTTGTACAACTGTCATGATTTATTGCATTTCATACCTTTCTTTAGATGTTTTACATGATTAAAACACGTGATATATCCTACTATCATGCATATAAGCTACAAATAATCATGGACATTGTCTTTCTTTTCATCTATAAAATTATTTTTAGTCTTGATTATTTCACTAAATTTGTAACTCACTCTTATATGATGTTGACTTTCAGGAAGGAGTTGGGAGCATCAGGACGAGTAGCTATGTGTGATGTTATACAACTTTTACATTATATAATTTTTTAGGTCATACGGACTTTTGGATACATATTTTTTACATATGCTGAATTTTAGCCGCCCTATATATGATTCTTAGTGCATGATTTCTCACGTTTTCAAGTATATGAAAATGTGTAAGAATATAATAACAACAACCCTTTATCCCACTAACTAGTGTCGGCTACATGAATCATTTTTCTCCATTGCATCCTATTGAGTGTGATTTTCAGTTAATTCTAATAGATTAAGATCATTTTTATACAATATTCCCAAGTCTTTTTAGGTCTACTTCTCCCTTCCTTGACATCAATCGAAACTAAAATATCTACTCTCCTAACCGAATCATCAGATGATCGACGTTTAATGTGACCAAACCACCTAAAAAAGCTCTCTTTAATCTTGTCCGCCATTGGAGCTACACCAACCGTATCACGGATATATGCATTTTGCATTTTGTTTCTCTAAGTGTCAAAACACTCATCCACCTAAGCATTCTCATCTCAGCAACACCTAATTTTGTTTTATGTTTCTCTTTTAAAGGCCAACAATGCGATAGAGCATTGTCGGTCTCACCAACATCTTATTAAATTTTCATTTCAGTTTAAGTGGTAATTTTCTATCACACAATAGGCCTGAAGCATTGCTCCACTTCAACCAACCAACTGGAATTCTACTAATAACAGGAATTCTACTAATTACTAATAACATTCCAATCGATATCACCATCACTCTGAACAGGAGACCCAATACATCTAAAATGTTCACACCTTTAAATGATTTAATCACTCATAATCACAACTCTTCCACTATAGCTCTTTTAGCTCCATCAATTCATATTTCACCATGAATTGCTCAAATTCAGTTGTGCACTCCACGGATAAATTTTTTTAATCCAAATTATAGAGTTTAAGAAACATGTCATGCCGATAATATATGAAAAAATATTTGTGTTACATCATCCTTTTCAACTTAGATTATATAGTGATCTTACTTTTTTCCTTCTCATTATCAAGGGCACTTCAAATTTTTCCGCAATAAGAAATTAGTCTTCTTAAATTTGATGGTTGATTGTTCCCTGATTTAAAGTCATTAAATAAACTCAAGTTGTTCGAATTCATACAACCATCAAAATTTGTCAAGTCGACTACCCTAGTCATTGCATCTTCTCTAATATTTAAAGTCATTCATCGGAGCATTAGTTCGTTATCAATGAAAACTTTTTGCTAAAAGGAGTTAGCTTCCTTCTCTCGATCTGGCAAGTCACTTCCTTCTCTCAATCTAGCAAGTCACCAATGTGACAATCGTGACTCTCCGGTTTGTCTTCTTTCAAATTCGACAGCCCTTTGTTGAAGTTGAAGGATTTCTCTCTGTATATCCTCCATTATGAGCTGTAGGATATCCTTTTGCATGTTTCTTTTTGGTAGCATAATGTCTCTTCCCCTAATTAAGTTTTTACCCTATATCAGTAGAGTGGTTTTGTTGTGTCATAGGTGAGAGGGAGCACTTTAGGGTTAGGGTTGCATTAATAATGAGGAATGAGATCAGGTTAGAAAAAAGTATTTGATTGGATAAATAAATCAGTTTATGTAAATTCAGGTATTGTAATTGGGGGATTTACATATATACCACACAACTCTTATGTATTTACATATTTAATTAACACCTAAACTTTCCACCTAAACTTTCATATTTACATGAATATCACACAAAGGTTTAACACACATCAAAAATATCACAATCACTATCTTTTAAAAGTGAAATACACATTTTCATGCTTAGGTTTATGATACCAATATTTAATAAAGGTAAATATCTAGCTTTGGGTGTTAGATACGTAAATAAATAAGAATTGTGTGGCATGCACATAAATTTCCCAAAAGAAAATTACAAAAATTAGGGTTCGTATTGCTCTGATACCGATATAAATCAAGGGTTTCTCAATGGCGGTCTGTTGGTAAGGGGAAGAACTAGAGCTACTTGAGTTGAATGATTACAACCCATGTTTGATAATAAAACGGGTCAAGACAGCATGAACATATGTTTTCAGCGTCCGTAGTGATGTAGGAAGCGCTCAGTGATAAAGGTGAGCCGGAGAATGATGCCAAGTAAGATCCACAACTAGCACTCTAACAAGATAAAGCCACACTATTTATAAGAGCAAGGATAAAGCACTTCTAACGGTAAAAATTAGAGAACAAATCTCAAAATTCATAAAATTAAAGCAAAAGTACTCCTACAAGTCTCAAAACCGGATACTTAACTCAAATATCATAAAACTCTAATTCTATTGGAAAATAGCAAGATAATATATCAATCGGGGACTGATAGCGGGATGGACAGGCCGGTTCGTCTACCTCGATGCTCATGTCTACAGTACAACAAAATTCAACTCCAAACCAACCAAATATGTCCTTAATAGCACAAAAACTTCTAAAAAAGAATAAATAAAACAGGCAAGAAATTCAAAAAAAAGCTTCATGCCCGCATTTTGCAAAACAAAGTAGCAGAAGTGTCCCACACAATTTGATTCAACCCGTCATAATATCCTGCAATGCTCCAAACAAAAAATCAACTTAATCAACCCAAGATTAAACTCATAGGGAATAAAAGAATAAGTTGTGCAAGCATTGTCTCCCAACAAGAACAACCAATGCAAGTTGCAAGGTTTGCACCCCCAAACAAAATAATTTCGATAATAAAAGATAAAAGTATTAGAACCTTGCCATACCTCTCTTTGATAGACATTACTGGCCTCTGCTTAACATAAAAAGATCCGCTACTGCATTGAAAAATGGTTCCGTATTACAAAAAAGAAGTTTGAAAAGAAAACACATATCCAATTAAATTTTTAAAATAGGATAACTTCAAATAAAATCATCTAAATTGTGTTTTTCAACTTAGAGATTAGACAAAGAGAATTACTTGGAGTGCAAACTTGTAGGAGATGAATGCAAAATAGCACTAAGAAGCCCAATAATTGTTTGTGTTTTTCCTGTACCTGGAGGGCCCTAACCAAAAAAAACAAAATAATTGAAACATCGCAGTGCAATATATTACTGTTAACAATGATTGGAACTTCCAATCAAAAATAATTGAAAAAGATTGATGGTATATCATTCGGACATCCATGTCCAATATAATAATCTATGATATAATCTCTAATATGATTATGAAAGTATAGAAATTTCATAACCTACATATATTTCCAAAGGTATTCCTCCATCAACTACTTTTTCTAGTGTATCAACACTCGATTAAGAGAATGAATGTAAAAAGCAAATTCGGAAGAAATAATTGTCTCATTTTCTTAGAAACATGCAATGTAAGAAATTTTAAAGCAATCATTACCAAATTATAGGGATAATATCCAATTTTGATAAGGTACCCCAAATAAAGCATAACTAAAATTTCAACTTTTTCAAAAGTCATCAAAAATCATTCGATCATATTTTTCTCTTTAAATTGATCATATGATATATAGAACTATATAGTAATTTCTAAAGACGAGAAAATTATTGAATTAGATTTGATTTTGATTAAAATTTTAATTAAAATAACTGTTCATGCACTATAGCAGCATTAATGAAATCCCGATAGCAGCATTAATGAAATCCCGGTTTTCCATTCACAAGCACGTGTTATCGGTTGATGATTTAATCAATTGCTGATATTTAATTAAGAAATAATTTATTTAGTGAAAAGAAGGAGAAAAAAGAGTGGAGAAAGAGAAGGAGAAGAAAAAGAGAGGAAGAGAAGGAAAGGAAAAAAGAAAGAGAAAATGGGGAAGGTAAGAAAACTAGTTTTAATTTGAATTGAACTTTTTTCATAAATCAATTTCAATTTAGGATTATTATAGGATTTTAGGCTTATATGAGTTGTGATTTTGTGATTGTTTCCGTAAGAAAGAGGTTTAGGGAAGTCCTTTTGGGTAGGGTAAATAGTAAAGCGGGTGAGATTTACAAATCCTAGTATAGAAAACAATTTCTTCTGAATCTTTTGATTGCCTACTGATATGTATAGTAAAGTTTGAGATGCACTGTAAAGTCTTGATACCGTGGAATGTATGTTTAAAGCTTCTGTTAATGAGAACCACCTAAAAATTTGATGGATACAAATTCATAAGTGCCTTCTGATTTTGTAAATATTTTGTTAATTAATGATACAGTTAAGAGAAAGCATATAATACATGTAAGTTATTCATTTACATATGTAATTATTTAGCATATTTGAAAAGGAATTGCATATTTATTAAAATAATTAATTATGAAAATGGGTGATGCTTAAAAAATATCATGTTATGGGGAATAAATTAATGATAATATGTTTATGTTACATGTGTAGGTAGGGACAAAAAAATCCCGATGCAACAAAAGGGTCTCCTATAGAGGCAAAATGGTCTTCAAGAAAGTTCAATAGCAATAATGTAAGGTTTCACCAGGGCTCAATTGAACTTGATGATCAAGTATTTAAGTTAAGTTATGATGATCAATAGCCAAGATTACCATACATGATATATTATAAAGCAAAAATGAAATACAAAATAGCAGAAAATAATTAAGCAAAAGAATAATTCGATATATTTAAATTACTTTATAAGCAAAAGAATAATTCGATATATTTAAATTACTTGTGGTCATATTTTTTATAAGTATGTATATTAAATTTATTTATCTTGCCAAGTCTAGTAATACATTTGATGATTATAATTATTTTCATAGAGAAGGGAAAAGAAAAGGATAAGGCTAAGCAAAATCATAATCATTTTTATATTATATTTTATGATATAGTTATTGTAAGATAAAAAATAATTTAGGCAAGCCAAGAGATGAATTTTATATTTTATGCTACAAATTTTTTTGAGTTTTATATGCTTTATAAATTTAATTTAATAATATATTTTGGATTGTTTCTGATAACTTCGAAGTATTTAAGGATTATAAAAATGTGAAATGTATTATTTCGAGTGAATTTAGTTGTTGAATGTAATTTTAACCTTATCCTGGTGAGCAAAATACATAAACGAATGTTAGAAGTGTATTCAATCAATTACATTACACTCGTTATGGGATGTGACAGAAAGTGTTATCAGAGCAATTGAATACTAAGGATCATATACAAAAGCATGATTGGATATAATATTAGTAAAAAGATAAATTTAATATGAAAAGATTAATACATAACATGAGCGGGTATAGTCCGTTTAGGTGAGTGGTGAGATATGCCAAAAACTCTTGCATTACATATTTTATATAATATAAAATGCATCATTAATATGAATATGTAAATATATGATTTACGATATAATAAATTGCATTTAATATAGCTGAAAGAGTGTCTGAAGGATCTTATGCCCAATTAACACAGCCAGGCAGACAGTTGAAAAGTTTCAGAATGTTCCACTTATTGAGGGTAAAAGACAGCAGGAAATATGTTCACGGCACCATATCAGGAAATATGATGCAATAGCAAATGATGAAAATGATGATGCAGATGATGAAAAAGATGCAAACATTTATAGCATCTGCAGCTCATGTTATACCACAAGCAGCGACACCAACTACACCTACAATTCCAAGTGCAGTAGTGTTAGTACCAATATTAGCGTTGATATGGATAAATACTTGAAGCTCTTTTAAAATTTAAAGTCACTTCTATTTAAATGAGTCAGATGCCTAAACTATTGAGGATTAAATTATCAGGATTGAGAAGATATTGAATGGGATGAAATGCCTTATGATAGAAGAATTTCCCTTTACCGTATTTGTACTTGAAGGTGAAGCAGAGCAAATGGGGGAGAGGATAGGAGTTAGAAAAATTTGAGCGTAGACCTGAGGAGCAGATTTCTTAGGAAGAGCTCAAACAAATCTTCAGAGATTGGTGCATCCCTCTCTCTTAACTTTAATGCATCCACCAATCATCTTCTTTAGAGATCCTAAACAGTACAATAAGGAGGATTAGAAGTTATGAAAAGACTATGAGAATTGGTAAGGCAAATAATAGATCGAAGGTTTACGTAAAATTGTGGAATAGATAAAATATTTTCTAAGGTTAAAGAGAAGGGAGCGATAGATACTTTTCCAAAGATAGAAAAGGACGATCCATCAGCAACAATGACAGAGACATATTAGTATGACGTCATTGTCAGTGATGAAGTTGAATATCAATTGCATTTCATATGGAAAGAATTGATACAATCTAAAACAAAACATATACCAAAATGAGCAGTTGCAATCAAACTAAACAAGAAAATCATCTGAGAAGCAAAAGCGATCAACTACAGTAGTCAAGCACACCTTTAGGAAAAAATATTAAACCAAATGAGTTCCAATTGAATCAAAAAGGGTCGTGGTGTAGATATTTTTGTTCGAGGATAGCCAAATATTTCCAATAAAGGTCAAATGAGTTATAGGGTGGACAAGGCTTGCAGTCACAAACACCATGACGTCAACAAACACCATGATTGCCACTTGTTCTTGCAAAAACAGCAATCTGGTCATGATGTTTGGGCAAGTAATTCAAAGCCTAAGAATCTATGAAAAGTTAATGTAGATATTAGGGACAATAAAGTGGCCATCGATTAAAATTCAGTAGATTGTAAAATTGATAAAGAACAAGTAACTTGGCAACAAAAAACTCAATTTATTTTTGCCAAGTCATTGGATCGATGAAAAATTAGTGTTATTTAATAAGTTCATCTAATTTGTCTTTTAAATTATTGTAACCTCTGAATATTTTTTCACCGCAGTTCAAAGAAATGTCAAGTAAAGGAAGTATACGTTAAGGTTTTTATTGTCATCAAAGTAGCTAAAACAGAAATAATCCTACATCTTTATGGTAGTCTCGTGAAGCGTAATGGTAAAAGCAATTGTATGTTTGAGGTTGTTGTTCATTTATATCAACATCATTATCATGAGCTATTCGTTTGATATGTTTGAGATTGTCAACCAATTCAAGAGGCAAACAATCTTGATGATTAAGCTTCTCATGAAATCCAACAAGAAAATGGAATGTTGAGACCAAAAATGATAATTAGTACCATTGAGTTTGATAGTTTTACCAATAGTTGACGACAGTTTTGTCTCAAAGAGAGTTGTGTAGCAAACTATTGGCTAATAAAGCCAAAAGAAGATAAAAGAGTACGAAAAATATTTAATTCAATGTAAATGCAGTGTGGAATGAGCAATGTGCAATGTCCAATGTGCAATGTGCAATGTGCACAAAGAAAAAGCTAGCAAGCACCAAAAGAGCAACAAAAGTGCAGACACAAGCAGCGTATGTGCAGACTATCAAGGCGAGTGCACGAGCCAGAGCTACAATCATGGAAGTACTAGCTGTAAAAAATGAGCTCAAAAAGAAGAAACGAAGGAGAAGAGGGAAAGA